ACCACTGTTTGGAGAACGGTATACAGTCCAGTTCTCAATTCAGTTTATTCAACCGTTACCTGGTTTTGGTTGCTATCTCTTGGCTACCCATGTAGATAAAGGGTTAGAAGAAAGATTGAAAAGTTAAAGGTAAAGTCGAAGGGAATGATGAAACTTCCAGTAGATAAAGGTTGCAGGGAAACTGAGCAGCTTTTTTTATTTTTCATGTTTACTCCGTTTGATTGAATACATAATGATACAGTGTTTATGAAGGGGGAAGCGTCCAACAGAAGAGGAGAAGAAGGGATTCGAACATGTCCTCCGTAGTGGTAATTTGGTGGCGTCAGTACTAAGCCACCAACGCCACTGCACCACTGTTTACGACACTTATTGTCTTCAGCCATTGATTAGAATAATCCTGGGGTCCTCATCCATGGAACCTAACGCGACCTATATGACTAAGTCTTCTGGTTTCAGTTTCAGTTTTGACAACCATTATCCATGCACTTTCGTGCGCCGGTTTTGGTTGCTATCATTTGGCCGCCCAGTTGGATAAAAGATCAAAATAAAGATAGGAACGTTGAGAGCAAACTCAATCGGAAGATGAAGAATTCATATAGACTGGGGCTGTGAGAAGAACGAGTAGATTTATGAGCGCCACTGCTTGCAACACCCAGGTATATCGCTCAGTGTCTCTAACGATCAATGACCATGATCCCCACTGTACCACTATTTACAACACGCAATGTCTTCAACCATTGGTTAGAATAATCCCGGGGTCCCCATCCAGGGAGCCTAATGGTACCTGTGTGACCCAGGGTTAGGATTTTCATACCCTCATGCCAGGTGTAAAGAAACGCGTATCATTGAAACCCTTGGTGCAATGTTCAGCAGCTGCAGCAAAGGCTAGCTGAGCCTTACCCCAACTCTGCCGAACTGTCTCATTGAGGGAAGCTGCAGTACTTTTGCCACTGTATAAAGTTTTTGTACTACTGAGTACTGCGCTGAAGCGTGGGCTTGTCTTCTAGTAAGGGACAAGCAGCTTCTCGAAACAGTTTAAAGTTGGTTCATCAGAATGATGATCAGGCTTC